ACAGTATATATATATATATATATATATATATATATATATATATATATTTTGAATGTATCTAAGTACATTATTTGAATTTTATTAATTTTTTTGTGACATATTTGTCCTCCATTAATCCATGTGTATTTTCTTTGAAAAGTGGTGCATTAAACATCTCCTAATTTTATGAGAGAACTTTAATATTCTATATTTGTATGTCCTCCCTTGATTCATGCAAATTTTGTTTGGAAAGTGATTTTATTTTTAAATTACATTTAATACATCTTAATTCATGCGTTATATATATATATATATATATAGATTTGTATTCATATTTAAAATTAAATTACAAACATAGAGAAGAAATAAAAGAATTTAAACATCGATTTGTAGTGGGGGGTGAGAGATAATGAACGATAGTTGTGGTGGTAGGAGACAGTAATAATTGTAGTGGTAGTGGTAATAATGGTGGTGGTGGCGACGACAGCGGTAGTGGTGGTGGTGGTGAGGCGATGATGGTAGTGGTGGTGGTGGAGGTAGTGGTGGGGGTGGTGGCAACAGTGGTGATGGCGGCGACGACAATGGTGGCGGTGGAGGTAGAATTAGTAGTGGCGATGGTGGTGACAATGACGGTGGCGACAGTGGAGGGGGGTGATGGCGGCGGTGGTGACAGTGACGGTGGCCACGTCGGTGGTGGTGGTGGCGGTGAAGGTGGTGGAGGTGAAGGTGGTAGTGGCGGTGGCGGTGGTGGGGGGTGGCAGTGGTAATGGTGGAACAGTTCAAAATAATATTTTTTTTTTAAAATACTTATGAGAAAAAATTCTTAAAAACACTTTTAAAAAATTACTCTAAACATACCTTTAAGGGCCTATTTTTTTCTATTAAATTTGGTGTTTTAATATTAGCTGTTAAATTAATTTTAAAGTAAAATTTAAAGCAATTTCAACTGCGAATAGCAAAAGTTATTTTGTTTATCTTTTAAGATTTATATTGTAAGCTACTTTATACTATATATATATATACTTGTTGTTAAATCTCTTATCTATATTTTGAATTATCTTTAATGCACATTGATTCATGCGTATTTTTTTTTGAAAAGTGATTTTATTTTCAAATTATATTTATGCATTAAATATGTACTACTACTAGTTTTATAGGAGAATTTTAATATTTTGTTTATTTTAGAATATATCACTTGTTTGAATTTCAAAATTTGTTAATATTCGAACTCCATAATAGTGTAACAAATACACTGTAATAAAAACAGTGTTCAGTAATTTTGTGCATATAGTAACAAATTCAAAACGGAGATAAACTATTTTGAAAGAAATTATATGTTTGACAAAATGTAATAGTATAATATTTTGTGTAAATAGTTTATTACACTGTTATAGTTACACTATTCGAACATTAAATTAATTTGAAAATAAAATCACTTTCAAAAAAAAAATGTATGAATCAAGGTGCATTAAATATAATTTAAAAACAAAATCACTTTCCAAAAAAAAAAAAAGACGCATGAACCAAGGTGCATTAAAGATAATTTGAAAACAAAATTATTTTCCAAAAAAAATTTGCATGAATCAAGGGACGGCATACAAATATGGAATATTAAAGTTCTCCCATAAAATTAGGAGATATTTAATGCACCACGTTCCAAAGAAAATACACATAAATCAATGGAGGACAAAAATATCACAAAAAAATTAATAAAATTCAAATAATGTACTTAGATACAAATAAGTATCAAAATTAAGAATTCAATTATCCAATATTTTTTCTGTCTATTTTTTTTACAATTAAATCTAATTTGGTGTACCATTTTTCAATTTTTCCTTTGAACTATTTATTACCGACCCATCTTCCAAAGCCCTTCCAAACCCACAAAACAAATAGTCCCTTATAGATTAGCTATTTCATATGTGGAACTTGGAAAACTATAAAGATTGTAGTACAAACCAATGCGTTTGTCGCTAATAATAAGTATTAAAAACCACAGGAATACAAAAACACACAGCACGATTTTTCACATACATTGAAACTCTATTATCTCCTGCAGGAATAGACAGCACAAATAGTTACATGATTCATATGCCAGAAGAAACTCAAACTCCAACTCGTTTATTGAGCTTCACATTCTTGTTGGATTTCATACTTGAGCAGTATTACCTTGAAGGAGACCATCCCTAATTTGGGAAGCAACATCTCTCACTGCCCCTGGTCCGTGTGGAACGAAAACTGAAGAAGACTTAGAGGAGGCACCAATCTCCCTCATAGTGTCGAAGTACTGGGTTACCAAGATCATGTCCATGACATCCTTGGAGGTTGTCCCAGGCACATTCATAGAGAACCCGAGCACGCTGTCCCTCAACCCATCCACTATGGCTTGACGTTGACGAGCTATGCCAAGCCCAGCCAGGTATTTGGACTCTGCATCTCCCTCAGCTCGTTTGATCTGCAATATCTTCTCTGCTTCAGCTTTTTCATTTGCAGCTTCCCTCATTCTTGAAGCTTGTTTGGACAACCAAAAGAACAATCAATTCACAGAATAAATGGACCAACACAGATAGATAAAGTGAACTAGATTATTTGTTCAATGCTTGCTTGTGCATGGCATAAAATATTTATTAGATCATATCAAATCACAATATATTCACAATGCTGCTAAGTCCCAATGGAACCCTCACTACAGGAAGTAGAGGGATGATAACAAGCAATTGGTTCAATTGTTCTTAATAGTATGATTTTATAAAAAGCTATTCACACCAACATTAAGTAATATCAATTTTTGTGTTGGAGAATAAAAAAAGTAAAATATCAATATTTCAAGTAAGAATGTAAGCATGTGATACCTGCATTTATCTCATTCATGGATCGCTTCACAAGCTCATCTGGTTCGATATCTACAATGAGAGTCTGAACAATCTCGTATCCATATAGAGACATGGCCTATGCAACCCCAGGAAAGAGAAGGAAACAAAGATTTAGTTCTTGAATTTGGTAGGTCGAAACTTTACCCAAACAAACAGTACCTTTTCAAGTTCATCCTCAACAGCTTTTGCAATATCATTTTTCTGCTCAAAGACTTTATCTAGCTCCAACTTTGGCACGCTTGCCCTAATAACTGAGATAACAATCCTAATTCCATCAGTTCTAAGTTTATTTACTCTTCTTGTAGCCTACAAACTCTATCAGCATGTCAAGTTGGCATACACTAAGAGTGACATACATACAATTGGTTCACCAAAGTTTCATGTCAAACCACCAATGATACCAAAGTACCAGAAGACATAGCGGCCGACCTTAATTTGCAAACTACGTTCAAACAGAAAGGTTGGAATTAACTCGTGAAGTATGTCATAAATTGAAGCTCCTCATACCAAAAAAAGCAAATTTTTTTCCCTCCATTCCCTTTACACTTATTTTGCCAGGCAAAATTATGATTTACTGAAATGGATAAAAACATGACTTACCAAAAGCCACTCAAAAATGAGACAAGAAATCCGTATGAGATCAGCTAGAAGTAAAAACTTCAGAACAGATACGACAAAGAGTTGCTAGAATGTATCTAATTAACTATCATAATTACTCTATAATATCTATCTAATTCCTACACGATCTCCATCACAATGTCAATATGGAAAAGGGGTGGATAAATTTGATTGGAACTTTCAAAATCATTACAAGATTACAGTCAACATCATACCATCAAAGACATAAGCCTGAATTTGCTCCTTGGTGTTGCTTAGCTTATAGAAAGCATCAGCTGCTTTTTTTGCTATTGCTCGGTATTGAATAGAAGCAACCACAGTCACGAAAACATTATCCTGAAGACACAAAATGGATCATAGCCGACTATTTAATTGCAGTTTACATCATATAAGATGGCACTAATATTGCAAAATACAACATTGTATATGTGTAAAATGGCTTAAGTTGTCACTTTCCCGTCTCCCAGACTGAGCTCCAAATAGAAAAAAAAATTGGGGAATTTGTGTGTTTGCTATGTGAACTATACTATCTGAATCTACTATTCCTCAATTTAAGTGATGATCTTTCAGTTTGATTTAAAACACTTTTACTTTTGTCCTCAAATTAACAGAATGCATAGCAAACAAAAGTCCGTTCTATTTATGATAAAACATTTTATTTGTAACTCACATCCGGCCTTATTACCAAGATTTTGTATGATATTCTGTTCCTCATGAATGAAAAGATGCTCATAAAATAGGAAACAACAGAAATAAACAACCTTGGTCTTTGTTTCACATCGAACATCAAGCTGCTGCACCCTTAATGAAAGGTAGCCTGCTAACTGGCTTCCTATACACCAAGGCATACAGTGACAACCAGGATTAAGAACGTCATCGAATTTACCAAAATTTTCTCTGATTGCTACGGTGGATTGGTCCACTTGAATGCAACCCAAAGCTTGTCCCATTGTTGGATTGCCTGCTACAGAGACAAAATGAGGTTTACTTTTAATTTTGGGGAGCTATAAACAATTGGACCACAATATACAAGTTAAAACAATAGATAGCCACTGTGTATGCCATATAGTGATCCCAGAAACACACATCTACTAGCAACATGTTATTAAAGCTTCCAGACTACCCATGTATTTTCATAGCCTTAAACACCAAGACTACGAAATTCTCCATTTGCAGTTCTAAAATCCAAAAGTAAAGTGCAATTCTAATGCACAAACAAGAGAAAAATAATTTTTGAAATTGAAACTAAATACAACAGCTAGGCATATGAAGAACCACGACAACTACATAATAGCAAACGAAACAAGGAAGAGAGTAGTTTATTTGTCACTAGAGAAGGCGGACTATGTGCAGAAACTCAAAGAAAGGCTAATAAGATGATCAATCACACAAATTGTATAGGTAGATTGGATTGTAGCATAAACCAAGGACCGTAGAGAAGATACACAGTGTCCGCCACACGGAATTTGTATTTAGATTATTATAATACACAAGTTCGTGAGGCATAGATGACTACTGCAGTCAAATTTATTATACTCAAGTTCATAAGCCATAGATAAGTACTGTACACTGTATATTTTATAGCATGAACTGATGATAGCCGGTGGACCAAATCTTCATTACATATACAAAATTGCAGTTCATAAGGAGATACTTCTAACTTACTGTTTTAGATAAAGTCATTAGTCAACCCAAAGAACACAAAATTACATAAAAGAATTTCACAAGAATGGCGTACCTGCAATAAATAGCTCTATTTAGTTCAAACATAACAAGAATTACCTGGAAGTAAAGGCCAAGTTTCACATAGAAGTCGTGAAGAAAGGGAGAAAGAGCACAAGCAATAATTTCTCACATTGTCTAACTTGAATTTAAAATCAAAAAGTTGTACCACAGGAAGCAAATTCTATTCATTCTTTTTTTTTTTCAACAGTTAGGGTGTTCGAATCAGTTTACACCCACCTTGACAATTCTAGGTCCGGTCAAAGATTGATCATTCACATTGGGACTAGGGTATTCGCGAGGATAAATTCTTCCGGTCTTGACCCAAAAGGTTGATAAAATTCGAATTCAAAATGTCTGTATTTACAATTCGATTCTAGTACCACTTGAACCAGTCGAAGTTGGTAGCAAATTCTGGTTGACGTTATCATTAACCAAAATCCATTTTGATAAGATAAGTTGAACACGTCACCAAGTAAAACCAAATGAACAGTCACTTTCTTGCTGAATTGGTCAATCAATGCTGGACAAGATTATAAATCTATGTTCTTACTATTCTACCAAGTAAATTCAAGCTTCTTTGATTACCTTGTTGACCCAGGTATTAATATCCCCATAGAAAATGAAAAAAAAAAAAAAAAACTTCTAATCACAATCACTGCAAAGGCCTTCTAAACAAATAATCAATTTCCAGATAAGAACAAGAAAATATGAAGGAAATCTGTCGAAGAGTGTAAATGAAAAATATGGTTCTTTGAACACGATTTGTGATTGTAATTAAAAATCTGTATACAACAGTGAACTACAAAAACCCAGTTCAGAAAATGCAGTGAAATCACATTCAAGACTCTGCACGAAAGAAATTCCTGCCATGAAGATGATTGTTTATGCCACAGTGCTATGAAAACCCAGATTTTCTTGCGAGTGAATCTAGAAATACAAAATATAAGAAGATAAACAGTGAGAGTAAGAAAGTTTTTCGCTTAATTACCACGCGAGCTTTGATCGAGAAATCGAAGGTTTGAACGTGAACCCAAGATGACGAGAGCAAGCAATAAGAGATAGTGTTTGATATAAGTTGTGAAAGAGGTGTTGAGAATGTACGTTGATTTATGTGGCTGAAGTTACAGGTAGAGACCCCACCAAAGCTTCTTACGGCTTTGTTTTTTCGTGCGGTTTTCTGGGAAAGTGTCAATTCAGCTTGTGAATCATCTGCTATTCTAAATCCTCTGCAATTCCATGATTCCCTGTGCCAATTTTGAAACAAACTATTGAATTTTTTAAGATTAAATTTATTGGAATTAATCTGAGACGGATCATATATATATAAATAATCTTATTTCTGTACACGGATAGATGCATTTATTCTACCCTTTCTAATAAATGCAGCTTTCAATGCAGCATAAAGATGCCCTTCTGCCATTGTCTTCTCCTTTCCTCTTTCTATACGTGGTTCTCATATTTTCCATACTTTTCCACTTCTTTCTGCCTTAGGAAACACCTTTTTCCTCTTGCTTCAGACAAATGGACCACACGGTTCTTTCCTGCAATTACAAGTATATATGTGTCACACCTCTCTCCTTTTAAATCTGACCTAAAATACTGAATAGTCTTATCCAATCAAAAGATTAAAAACGGATTTGTTTTCAACAAAACCAGGGTCAATTGTGGTAAATTGATATATAATTTCATGTTTCTAGAGATACCATTACAGTATCCAAAAACACTTTTTTAATATCTTTTTTTACTTTCAACCAACAAACATACACCACCTATATAATTTTATTTTTAATTATTTTTTAATCAATAATTGTAGATTATTCGGTTCAAAAATGATGGAGGCACGATACTATCTTTGATATCATATCATAGTCGTACCCAGTTTTGAGAGGGAGGACCCATTGAAATGTAATATATATAAAGTGAAACTAAATGACTTTGTTTAAAAATAAATCGAAAGAAAGCAAGAATATACAAAAATAAATTTCAGAACTTTATCTTTTTTAGATATAGGCAATTTCAACTCATCTAACACACCTTAAAGGGTGATATAATGTACAAAATTCTCACCACTTTATACGGATCATATATATAGAGTAGTCTTACTTCTGCACACAGATAGATACATTTATTCTGGGAGGTTCTATGATATTGTCAGTGATATCAGTATCGACAGTTACAATTTTTTTGGGATATTAGTTAAAATTTTAAAGAACATGATCGAACATAAAATATTTGGATTGATTTTATAATTTTTATGATCGATCATAAGTTTATGTGATTGATCATGACTTACCTTAAACAGTTGTCACTTTTTTTTGTTAAAGTTATAATTTTACTATACAAAATAATAATCGATAGTCCCAATAAAAAAAAATTTCGGCACCGCAGAGTTTCCCATCTCTTCCACACTTTCTAATAAATGCAGCCTGAAGATGCCCTTTTACCATTGACTTCTCCTTTCCTCTTTCTATAAGTAGCTCTCATATTTTTTATACTTTTCTACTTTCTTTAGCCTTATGCTCCGTTTGATACGAAACGAAAGATAAAAAGTATGAAGAATAGAAAATAGAAGAGATATATTTTTTATCTTTTAAAGAAGAAATATAGGAATAATGCACTTTTTTTTTTGTATTTGGTTGAATAGGTGAAAAATAAAAATGACTATTTTTTTTTTGTGCCGACTAAGATTAGGAGTGACAATCAAGTCGTGTCGTGCTGTGTCAGATTCATGTTGATTCATTATGACTTTGTGTCGAATATTAGTCAAACCTAACTCAACTCATTTAACTAATTGTGTCATGTCGAGTTGCAAGTTGACTTTTTTTATTTTCGTATCATATTCCTAGTTGTGCTAATCCACATAAACTTTGAATAAAAAATTTAACTATAATATTCTATTTTTATTTTTTTATTTTAGAATTTTTTAATATATATATATATATATATATATTATCATTATATTTTTATATCATATTAATGTATATATAATATATGTATATATAAAAAGATATATACACAAATAATATACATCTCAACACAAATAATTAATTTTTGATCCACTTTCCTTTCGATTTTGGAGGGATTAATTTTGGTGAGTTAGAAGGAAAGTTAATCTATCTACTTTTTCATCCTTCTTATTTTTTTTCCTTACCAAATATGATGTTTTATTTATTTTTTCATTTTTCGTTCGTACAAAACGGAACATTTTGTTTTTCTTTGCTCAAGACAAATGGACCACAAATGATACCCAATCCTTAATTTTCTACGGCTAGCTAACATAAATGATACACAATAGAGATGTTCCCATTTTCCTCCCAACCATCATTACCATGAATTTATCTGATGCCACAGCAAGTGATAATGTGCAACAAAAAAAGCTTTTGCACAAAAGTAAGTGGAAATCCACATATTTCCATAGTTGTCTAGGGGACCCAAAAAAAATAAAATTGGTATTGTATTAATATTTATTATACTAATGGGTATTTTTATCACTATTATAGTAATTATTTTCACCGTTGTAGTGAAATTTATCAGATGTATGGTAAATCACTCATAAATTTGATAAATTTTTTAATTATAAAAAGACCTATGCAAATTATAAAAACTTCCATTAAAATAAGAGTAATGATATATAGATTTAAAAAATAGATTTGATAATCACAACCATTGAATAGATAAGAATAATGTTACATGAACTTAAAAAATAGACTTGATAATCTCAACTATTGAATAGGTAGTGGGTCAATAGATAATAATTTCTAATAAATGCTAGAATTCACAGTGAAATTAATATGTATAATTATCAAATCTAATTTTTAAGTTCTTGTAACAAACTCTTAGAATCTGTGAAGCGGGCAACTTATCCCACCTATAAGTAGAAAGAGGAGCGGTCTAATCTATGTTTATCCTTGGAACTTGACGTCGATTTTGACTTTGAAGAACCAACACCTGATTTTACAGCATTGGCATGCGACAAGTGAGATTAAAATTCGTCTCTTTTTTTATTTTTTATTTATGATTTTTCTCTTTCAGCCTATCACTTGAAAAATTAGGTAACTGTCGACCCCGTGTGACACAAGAGATTATAATTCTTATAATTTTTTATTTATTTTTTTTCTCTTTGATCCTAATACTTGAAAGTTAGATAAATAATTATAAAATATTTTTAGGTGCTAAAAATAAAATTTAGGTAAATGTAAAAAAGAATAATTAGTTATGGAGGAGGGTTGGTTACAAATGACAAACGGTAAGAGTTAATTGGAGGGAGGCTTAAGTTTTGAATTAAAACATTTAAAATTCTAAGACACACACACACACATATATACAATGTGTATATATATAGAGGCGGAGTTAGAAATTTTTTTCAGGGTGTCTACACTAGTATGTTTTAATTTTTTTTAAAAGACCGTAAAAGTTTGTAAATTTATATTTATTAAAATTGTATTTAATACTTTTTAAACATAGAAGATTAAAAATTGATATACTCATAAACAAAAAAAATAATAATTAAAACTTCTTATCGAGAATTTGATTAATTATTATTACTTACAATTGACCCTGATATGTTTTACTATTTGAAAGAGTTACAAATTAATTTTATCAACAATATTTTTTTTATATATAAAATTGGGGTAATAATCTTCCATTTATAATTCTATAGTTTATTACATAACGACATATATTTTTATACAATAACAAAATAACCCTAAAATTTTAAAAAATTATAAAATAACATAAATATGTTCAAAACATATTCAGACATGTCTAAAAGTTAACAATTATATTAGTTGTCCTTAATTTGAGATTTAATTGATGGAGACCTAATGATTTGTGACAATTGGATAGATATTAAAATTTATTAAATATTACAACTACTATTATACTTAATATCATAATGTATTAGGTTCTTAAATTAAATTTTAATAACATTGTTCAAAAAATTAACAATCATTTAAGTAGAGATTTATTCAAATTACTATCACCAAAATACAATATTAGGGTGGATACAATTAAATATGTCTAAATTTTATTTTAAAAAATACATATTTAATATGAAGCAAAAAAAGAAAAAATTTGAGGGGGTGGCATGTGTCCACCCTAGCCCAAGGGTGGCTCCGCCAGTGTGTATATATATATATGTACATGCACACAAACACACACTAACGTCATGCCCCTGTGTGATGCGCGAGATATATATTATATTATTTTTTTAATTTATTTTTTTTCTCTTTAACCTTCACTTAAGAAGGTAAATAAAAAGTTAAAATAAATTATTGAACAATAAAAATAACTTTTACAAATAACTTTTAAAAAATATTAGTTAGTTAATGGGGAGTTGAGGGGTGGTTAGAAACATACATGTTATAATGTGATTAGAGGAAGATTTAGGGTGTGTTTGTTAACCCAAATTCAACACTTAAAATGAATATATTTGGTACTTATTAATTAAGCCCGTTTGATAACCAAAATTTAAATTTTCTTAAAATGTTAAGTGCTCCTTAAAAATAAAATACAATATTAAGTAGGAGATCACTTACTTAATTTTGAAAGCTGAAAGCGCTCAGCAAAACTATCTTTAATAATATTTACAATGTGACAATTATACGTCGAAATATTTTATAATCCTATTAAAACTCTAATTAGTCTTCTTTTCAAAACTATTAACCAGCTTGTCGATCTCTTTTTTTTTTCTTTCTCTTGTCTTATGTATCAAAAATATACATACATAATTATCATTACACACACAAACGCACGCATTGCACACACACACACACACACAATTACACACAAACATATGCACTGCACACACACACACACACGACGCACACATATATTATTAATAAAATCTAATTTATTGTATTTTTTTAATATTATTTGATTATTTATTAGTTATTGTTATATTTTTTATCAGATGTTCTTGTTCACTAATTATGTTATTCAATTTGTTATTTTACTTATTGTGTTATTCAAATGTTATTTATTTATTTATTTTGATCAAATTTTTGTTAAATATAGACTACAATATAATAATGGTGATTATGATTTATGTTATGAGATATTTTATAAATATTTTCAAATTAAAGAGTGGAAGGGTAAAACTGAAAATTAATTTATTTTCAGATGTCTGCTCTGTATAGTTATCAAACAGTTTAGTTCAATTCAGTACTTAAATTTCAATGAATACTAAATAGTCCACAAATTCAGCATTCAGCTTTCAAACTTCAGTTTTTAGTTTTCATACTTTAGCTTTCAGTTTTATCAAACACTACTTTAGTATGTTACTAAAAAAAAATCAAACTTCTAGAAAATTAGAAAGTGTGAAGGGAAGGTTTCTCAGTCATTCTTCATTCTAATTTGTTTGTTTTATATATATAGATAGCTATAAAAGGGACACATGGTAAAATATGACTGGAGATAGCCATAATTTGTCAATTAATAATAGGATTAATTATAAAATACCCCCTTCAACTTGAGGTTATTTGCCATTTTCAAGTATTAATTTCAACAAATAGTCCTTTTAAGTTGGAATATTTTGTAAATAACTCTAAAAGTTAATTTTTGAGACCATAAAAAATCACGTAAGTTAGACACAATTATCCCTAAAAAGAATGTGTGTGTGCGCGCACTTGCGTGTGTTGGTGTTAGGTGGAAGTGGAGGTGGAGGTGAAGATGAAAGTAAAGGTGAAAGCGAACATAGTGTTGTGTAGTGTTGTAATGCCTCAAAATCTACCCTGGACGGCATTACAAACTAAATATCATTCACAGTATGAGAGCAACTAAATAAATTCATCATTGAAGAAATTTCATTCATCCAATCTAACATTTACAATATTATCCTAAAAGAATAAGTCAACTATGACCATTATATCCCCAAAAGAATCACATTAAAACTTGCAGCGAAATTACAAAAGATTAGTCTAGACTTCACAATATTTCCAAAATGAATTTTCTAGTCTAGAAGAAAATGTGATATTGTTCCAAGCGTCCCCCTTGGGAACAACTTGCCCATCTATAGGAATCTCCCCGTGTGCCGGTTCATCAACTCTCAACTCCTACTCCAGTACATAATCTGAAAAAATATAGTTTGTAAGGGGTGAGCACTAAGTTCTGTAGCAACATTTCCTCCCAAACTCGAACAAGATTTAGAAACATATAAAAAACGGTCGGTCACCTTTCACAAATGATATATATGAATTTTGAAATAAAACCTGGACATTTAAACAGATATCAAGTTTAATCAACAATAGTAATTTAATGCATAAGTGAAACCAATATACAACTAATAATCCATTCCACCATAAACCGTTTCTCCCAAATCCTTGCGGAATCTCATACTTCCCAAAATTCTTGTAGAAACTATTTTTAATACAATGAACAATAACCCACCACTGTATTCGTATCTCTGGTATGAAGTAAGATCTCGCATGGATATCATCAAAAATATCATGACCCACGTATAATCCATACAAATCCTCGCAAGGATATTCAACCTTTAGAAAAGGGTGTATGCCAACATCATGACATTGACGTATCCAACCAAAGAGTAGTATATCTTTTTTCACGATAACTCGTAAGCGATAATGATTTAGTTCTCGTAAGACACTAACCCCATTACGAGTGGTAGAAAAAGTTCTAACCCACATGGAGTAAGAAGACGTCTACACACTCCAAGATACCCGGTCAATAGTAGCCCATGTTTATCCAACAACCACACGAGATACAATACCAACAATTTCCTCAAATAACACACAATTCTATAAATTCCCAATTTTTCATGTAGTATTTCAATAGAGCACGTGAAGAAAATATAAGAGATCATCATCAATATCATTTTAGTACTCAACTCAAAGCAATAAAGTTTTCTAAACAACATTTAAGTGAATGTAGAGGGAAAAACCCATATTTTCCCAAAAACTAGGGTTTTAAAGCAAGGACAAGAGATTTCATGGGTATTCAACGCTAACTTGTGTAAAACATGATAATAATTGTAAGAAGACCAAGAAAAGATGATTTCATAGCAAATATATAAGATTTAGAGTCAAAGAATACTTATACATTAGCCCTAACATCAATGGACAAAAATGGAAGAAAACCCCCTACCTTTCTCCTTGGCTTTGGTGTGAAGGACAAAAATATTTGTTCTTGAATCATCCTTAAAACTCTTGTTTTCCCTTTCTCTCTCCCTCTCTAAGTCTTTCGATTAGGGTTCTAAGAGGTGTGGGGTGAAAGTGGTGTGAAAGAATGAGAGTAAATGGAGTAAAAATAGAGTTTTAAAACATAAAAATTCTGACTTTTTAACTGTCTATCGATTGGTCGGAACTACGGGACAACGTACTACCTATTGAGCTACCGGTAGTTCGGATCTACTGGGCCTTTACTACCTGTTGACTATTGGTAGTTCGGATCCATTAGCTACTTACTACCTGTTGACTACCGGTAGTTCGGATCCACTGGACAACGTACTACCGGTAAGTCCTATCTAAATTTGTCTATTTCCTCTATTTTTCATTTCAAACCCATTCCAAATCCTTTCAAATCCAACTCAAGCTTATTCAACATGCTTTTGTACATCAAACCTAGTTGGTACAAGTTCTATTACAACAATTTTATATATTTGCAAGCTAACTAAGTTTTAACTACTATTTTCTCGAATTTCCATATTAACATTTCCAAAAGAAATAATAGTTTGTTACATAAACCTACATACATATAGAAAGATAAAAGGGTGGGGTTTACAAGTGTGTTGGTATTGGAATGAACAAATGTATTTTTTTTTTCTTGACTTTTCCGTTTTCTTTTTTTTTTTTGGGATAGAATTAGTATCTTAATAAAAAAATATGTAAAATAATGTAAAATATGGAGGTTATAATGGTACTTTCAAATTTCAACCACTACTATCAATCAATTTAGTTTACTTAAAACTTGGAGCAAATTACAATATTTGAAACTATAGAGAGCTGATTGCAATAAGAGGCAAAGTTGGATGACAAAAGTTATAATTAAACCGTAAAAATAATCAAAACTTAGTATTTATGAAATAAGGAGGGAAGAATATCATGGTTTCTTTTCTCTAATTTGTTTGTTTTATATTTAGATAGATTAGTGTTGTGACCCGTGCAATGCAGAATAATATATATATATATATATATATATATATATATATATATTATAAAATTTATTTTATCAATTTCTTTCATCTTATCACTTAATAAGTTAGATAAAAGAATAATAACAAATATTGCAGTAGTAAAAAATAATTTTATTTGAAAAATTTTAATAGTGGTTAATTATTGGGCAGTTAAAGAATAGTTACAAAAGACATATGGTATAATATGATTGGAGAGAGCCTTAATTTAGTTATTAAAACATTCAAAATTCTTAAATTTTGGGAAATTTAAAGGTTGGGCTTTCTAAACTTACTCCCTAATTTGTTCGTTAGATGTATATATTAGAACTAATTTGTGCCTGAAGATACGGTGCAACGTAAATCAACCGGTTAATTTGAAAAAGTGAGGAGTGAAGATCCTATAGAGATAGTGAAGAGTGGGGAGAAGAAGGTAAAATTCAATTTGAATAGTTTTGAGAGGGATGTTGGTGGCTGTTAGACGAGTCTATTTGAGACCATTAGATGAATTTATTGAAGTCTGTTCTGTTTTATATTATAAAAATATATAGTAGCGTTATGGTTCGATGCGATAGATGTGATATATATTCTTTCATTTTTTTTAATTCTTTCACCTTATCACTTAAGAGGGTAACTAAAAAAATTAAACTAACTTATTGAATAGTAAAAATAATTTTATGGAATTAAATTTGAAAAAAATAGTGGTTATTTATGGGGAAGTTGAGGGGTGATTACAAAAGACACATAGTATAATATAATTGGAGGAAAGATAACTAGAAAAATTAAAATTTTAGAAAATGAGGAAGTGTAGAGGAAAGGCTTCTCAAACATGCTCCTTTCTAATTTATTTAATATATATTAGCATGTGGTCCTTACGATGTATAAAATTTATAATTTTATTTTTTTACCATTACCTCTGTTCTCACCCCCATTGCCACCTCCACCTCCACCTCCACCTCCACTTCCACCTTTAACCCATCCCAACCCTCCTAAAGTTATTGGAGAATAATCCATGAATGTGCCAAATTGGGAGATAAATTTAAATGTTGGGTAATAATGACATAATTTATTGGGTAGTTATAGAAAGACAATAAAAGTCTTTTAAAAAAAAATATTCAACATGCACATAAATTCCTGTAATTATGATTGCTTTGATTAAGAAGATTCTGATAATCCTTGCCTTATTATTCCTCTCCAATTCCATCTTTATTGCTATACAACAGCATGCTTTCTTTGTATACCAATTTTCCATGATACGAGGGCTTGTTTCTCTTTGATTATGGAAGTTCCAATTAAAACTAAACGAAACTTCCCTGCTAATGAATGTCTCCGCCACTCATTTATCATCAAATCCGCTTCATCATTACATTAACAAATTAGATTTTAACTACGGAATTTCTAATTAAACTACCTAATCAATGTCTCCATAGTATAAAATCCCCTTCTCCGAGTAGGGTTACCCACCCTCACACTCTCTTTCTCTCACTCTGGGTGTTTGTCAAGTCTGAACACTAATAAGGCCTTCTTCTCACACAACAATAATGGCTAGTTCTGTTGCCGGGATATTTTTTGTTTTACTGGTTTTAAGTGGTAAAAAGTCAAGTTGGGCAAATGTGTTCACTGTTGGAGACAGTCATGGTTGGACTGTATTCGTGGATTATTCTGCTTAGGCTAAATCGAAGACTTTTTTGGCGGGCGATGTCCTGGGTCTTTTCTTCATATCCCACGACTTATCATGAATATTAGAAATCAGTAGAATTTTTTTTTCTTTAATTGCCTTACTTGTGTTTGCTTGCAAAACATTATATTTCGAACAAATCATTAATTTTTTTGTCCATTTATTTATGTTATGTTTTTGGTTGGGATAGCGTTCAAATATGACAAAGGTCGTACCGTTACTGAAGTGGATCAACATGGTTTCGACAAATGCGATGGAACAAAAGGAAAATTGCTTGATCAAGGTGGGCATGCTACCGTTACTCTCACCAAGGGTGTCCAGTTCTTTATATCTGTTGGGCCTTCTGATTGCGAGAATGGGATGAAGTTATCCGTCGATGCGGATGGATCGAAATGAGGGGGCAGCAATGACAAACATTGCCAACCGCCGGGGGTGGGGGGCTTCATCTTCTTATTAATTACTAGTATATTTGAATACGTTAGGAAATGATGTAGCCTGGCTTTTTCAATAATATCAAGTTATTATTCTTGGCTTTTGTTGTTTGACTTTGCTTGGGTTCATACCTTTTCGTAATGAAGTTGGTGGCATGACTATTTTTTGAAGTATTGTTATGCTTGTATGTTATTTTTTATTTTTGTGTTTGTTCAACAATCAAGGTGGTCGATCCGCTTATGCAAATCTTGATTAATTTTTTCAACGGTTCTGACACATATTGAGGTCTAAAATGACAAATTTAAATAATTTTTTTTATTTTTTGAATACTAATGTAATTTTAGAAAAATAATTGTCTGGCTAATTCAAATACAAATTCATAATGAATGTTTCCGCCACACAATAAGGGGACTCGTTGCTTACCAAAATTCGTCTCATTACAATAACGACTTAGGTTTTGACTATGGGACAAGCGCCAAAGAGTCGAATCGGCTACACAACTAGGCTAGAGCTTTTCTTATTTTTAATCAGCGGGCTGGAGCCTGATCCATGAAAGTGTTGGACCAAGTCGGACAACCCGTAACTGCTCGTTTCCGACTTTGGGCCAGTCAGCTAATTAAAGGGTTTTAAGGGCTGATATTTTTTTTTAGAAATTATAGGACAAAAAATACTATTTTTAAAAATATAGGTCAAAAAGTACACAATTCTAACAAATCTCTAAAATACCCTCTTTAGTAGAATGAGAACCGATTCCTATAATTTTGCTTCCACAACCGAAACTTAAAGGATTTCAACAGTTATACATAAATTCCTTTAATATCGTCAGAAACCCCATTCTTCCAAAAACTTCCATAAAATCTCTTTTTGAATGTTCAAAACTTTCTGTTAATCATTGCTGAAGAAAAGATCTTTTCAAAATTTAACTATCAAAATCTTCACCTTTGTAGCAAAAGGATAGAGAAGGATGTGACTGGTTATAAATTTTTTTAGTAACGAAGAACTAACTCAATCACACAATCTTGGATATGGATTGAAATTCGATTCATTAACAACTCTTGGTTACATTAAAGGGTAAAGTGATTTTAGTAAATGGTCCATCTGGGTGAGAACAATTTAGATAATGGTTTGAATGGGAGTGGTTGTAGTAGAAAGATGGAGAAGGATGAGAGTGGTTGAATTTTTTGGAAAAGAAGTTGATAACTCAAGTAAAATGTTGTTTCTTCCAACTTTTTTATTTTATTTACTTTTTTTCCTTCAATTACCTTTCTACTTCTAGTGCTTGGTACTACATGCACACTAAATGTTCGATCATTTGCCAAAAAAAAAAAAAAACTAAAGAGGCTATATACATTGTGATATGTGTCATGTTAATATATGTAGTGTGACATTAACTTGCAATAATGTGACATTGATTTCTAGCAGTGTGAATTTGGTTTGTTACACTGTGACATTTTTTAGTACCATTATAATATTGTCTTGTAGCACTGTGATATTATCGTGCAAAGCCGCAAATCATCATCTGAATCAGAATCATCATTTTGATTATTACGATTATCCCAATTTGAGTCATCATCATTGACATTTGTCCTCACATGAATGTGATTGGCATTAAGAGACCGTAACAATTTTTTTTTTTTTTTTTTTAAATATGGACAACATTGTAGCAGTGTCACATTTTTCAGTACTAGTGTGACATTGTCTTGTAGCACTGTAACATTATCGTGCGAGACAGAAAATTATTCTTCGAATCAGAATCATCATCTTGATTATTACGATTTATAAAAAAAATAAATAAATTATACAAATATGAAAAAGACATGAATGTTTGAATAACTTAAGTTGAATGAAAGAGAAAAATATAATTTAAAATTCAAAAATGATATTCCATAAATTTAGGAAACTGAATCCCTAATATAACTGTCATATTTGTCTCTCACTAATAAAAGAAAAGGGCAATTTCGTAAGAGAAAAAATTACAACTTAGCAAAAGTGTACCTCTTCACCAAACATTTACACATAAAAGTACTTATATACTAATATTTTATATTGAGGTACTTTTACACAAATAAGTATGATAAAGTGTACATTTTCACAATTTTCTCCTAATTAAACTATAAAAAGCCCACTACCTTATTTGGTGAGCTAATGGGTGGGTAAGTTGTGATGTATGCTCATGGTTTGATAGGCTATTTTTTGGACCGATAACTGCCACCTATTTTTGGGTTAGTCGGGGGATCCATGGTCGATAAGGTTTTTTTGTATTTTTTCATATTAACCAAAAACTCTTGTTTTAAAAAAAAAAAATATTAATCATGGGATTACATTCCACCTCAATATCCTAATTTCTCATGATTTATTTTTTTCAGTGGAATATGATGGGTCGGGCCCGAGGACCTAACTCATGTTATAAGCCCGATTTAAATTAAGAGTTCAACTTGAAGAGATTTAGTGGGTCCGGCCCCAAAGAGTTCATGCCCAATCAAGATCATTAAGATTCGAGGAACTACATCACCAAGGTAGTAAGCATAGTCATCCAAGAGTCTCATCCATGTCGCCTTGGAAGAAATCAACCACCACGTCATCTTGTAACCGGATCTTATGGGCATCGCCTTAACTGTCTCATCTGTTGAGAAGCCAGCTCCACCAAATTAGCCTTTTAGTTACTGATAAGCTACCTCAATTTGTTAGGAGGCGACTATAAATTATAAGTCTCGCCAATATTTGGAGGGCATCACACACAATCGAGCACATCTGCTATCACTCATCTCTCTCTGATTGGTTGTATCTCCATGCTCTACCTACACTCGTCGAAGTAATAAAATACCCAGGCCACCCTAGTCATTTATAGTTGACGTAGGTTACGTTGACCGAACCATTCTACATTTTTGTCTTGCTTGAGTTACTCTCTCTTTATTTAATTAATGTATTAATTACTAATCACTTGACAGATAGTGCATAATACCAATTTCTACATCATCACATTACATAACCTATTTTAGTGATTAAAAATCATCTCCATATCTGCTTTTTTTATTTGTGATTGTTGCATAAATTCTGATGATGCACAAATTGGGTTTGTACACCACCTGTCAATTGAACAGTAAAAATGCAGTTATTAATAAGTGAGAGATAGAGACAAAAGCAAGACAGGATTTATAGTGGTTTGGTAAATGTAACCTACGTGCACTTTGAATGGCTAGGATCGCCCGGTATTTTATTAACTCAAGTGTGTAGGGAGAGCAGAGAGTTACAATCTATGAGAGAGAGAGGGGAGATATGCTCGATTGAGTGTGATGCCACCCAAGTGTTGGCGGGGCTTATAATTTATAGTCGCCTCATAACGGATTGAGGTGACTTAATGATAATTAAATAGCTAATTTGATGGTTATAACGGATTGAGGTGACTTAATAGTAATTAAATAGCTAATCTAAAAGAGGTAGCGATCTACTTCTCAATGGGCGAGATAGTTACAATACTTTTCATAGGACTCGATTAAAGGATGAGGTGAAGGTTAACTCTTTTCAAGGTGGCGAGGATGAGGCCTTGGATGACCTTGGGTGCTCCTTGCTGATGTGGCTCCTTGAGCTTGATGAGCTTGACCGAGTTGACTATATTGGGTTGGACTTGGCGGATCTCTTGGAGTTGGGCCATTAATTCAGACCAAGCTTATAACATGAGTTGGGCCTTTGGGCCTGACCCATTATTTGCCCCCCACATGCCGTCCAATGAAACTTTGAGAAAAGGACATTCAGTTGAATTTGAATTCGGACTCACGAAGACTCCTCTCCTGCTACGTCCATGTTGTGCTTCGACTCCGAAATCGACCTGCCTTGTTATGTGGCAAGGGCTCAAGGGCAGTGCCCCTGAAACCTAAACGATTTTCTGAATCAGATACTAAGACTCCTCCTTCTTTTCTGATATATATTTTAGCTCTGTAGGACATCTCCAACTGTAAAAACTCTTCCTTTTATTTCCCTTTTTGAATTCTATAAGAGCCCTTGGTTTTGAACTGGGCCTTTTTGCCTTTTGCTTTCTTCAATAGGATTTTAAAAACCCTAGGTATAAATAGGGAGCTTCTTCCTCATTCCACCCACTCAGCTACTTTGAGAAAGTGTTTCTTCTTGAGATTTTTAAAGACCCAAAGCTTGAGGTTCTTTGAGTTTGAGCACTTCAATCAATGGCTACCGGTGGGGAAGATGTTCAAGCGAATTTTGGTGTGGAGTCCCATGAAATCAATGTTATCTCCAGAGAGGAGAGGGAGTTGCCAGGTGCTGGAGTGGAGGTGGAGATGGAGACCCATTTGGATGCCTGAAGGAAAACGCTGGGGGCATGGGCTGAGCAGCGCTGATCTGATTCACCAGGTGCCAAGAGGCGTTGATCCAAATGAGCAAAGAGGGAAAAAGAGGGTTGGTTTTGGCATATAGGCACCAAGGGGTGTCGTTTTGGGTGCGCAGAGAGGAGTAGGCTAATCAGAGTGAACATCTAGCTGTTCTAGGCGTTATTCGGGGTAAGAAGATAGCTAGGTGCGCCATTTTGGGCAGCTTGGGCGAGCAGGGGGCTGGACTGGGCGAGTTTTCTGGATGCACTATTCTGGGTAGCTTGGGCGAGTAGGGGGCTGGACTATGTGAGCCTCCTGCGCTAGGCAGCTTAGGTGAGCGGCCTGCTCACATAGAGGCAGTCAGTTTGGGCGCCCAAGTTGCGACGACCTCATTCGGGCAAGTAGACCATGGAGTGCAGGCTTTCAAGTACACTGTGGGAGACCATCTAGGCGATCCAGTTCGTGCCCATGGTCCGATTCCTTCAAGCGTAATTTCTCATAATCAGATTCTTTACCTTCCTAGCGATGGTTGGGGCAACCTTTCTTGTCCTCGCAACAAAAAGCACCGAAACAAAGTAGCACTTGACGATGATGGGTCCAAAGTAAGTACCCTTTCTAGTATGCTCAATACTAATGATGATATTT